AAGTAAATGAGGAGAGTGTTGCTAAGATAGTTTGGATTGGAGAGACTTGGCTTGAAGCCTCTCCATGGTTCTCATGTTTTAAAGTACTTATAGGGTATGTTTGGGGGGGGGGGTGGGAAATTAATGCAAGAATTACCCCTAGGAAAGTTGTGCTCACTTCCCTACGAAAGGTCCAAGGGGGCTCCTTGGATGAGGGAAAATAGGGCAGTCTTCACTGGAGCTCAAGAAATTAGTGTACTAATGCAGAAGTAGTTGTGTAGTCACTCTGAATAGATTAAAAATAGACAGAGCCTTTTCCCTTATTTAGGAAGTAAGTTCTTATAAGGGAAGGGGATGACAAAGCATGCATAGCAATTACTGAAAGGTAGAAAATGACCACATCCATGACATGGTCTAAGGTTAAAACGCCTTAAGAATTTGGAGCAAGGAGTTCATCTAGGGACACAGGAAGGGCTTTGGGAGGGTGTGGAAGTTGAACGTTCAAGGACTAATGAGGATATGAGATGAAGAAGCACTTCCAGTAAAAGAAAGAGCAGGGATGGACCAGTTTGGCTGGAAAGGAGGATGCATGAATGGAGTTGGGGAGAATCAGTTGGGAAATCTTTGATCTGAAACCATGTTTTATGAGGAACACGTAAATGAACTAGGGATGCTGGGCTTGGGGAACAGAAGGTGAAGGAGAGGCTATATAGTCGCTTTCAAATATCTGAAGGCTGGCCTCTAGATAAGCCCTGTGTGGCTCTCAGTCCGCTAGGAATGAATGCCCTTGGCTACAAGCAACAGTCGCCTAAACCACAGAGGATTTCTTGTTCATAAGCAGCCTGTAGCAGCAGGCTCAGGGTTGGTCTGCTGCCTGATTATGTCCTTGGATACACAGGCTTTCTCTCTAGTATGCTATGCTGAGTAGGCTGGCTTGCTTTCCATCTTCTTGCCGGTCACAGTGACTGCTAGAGCTCCAGGTGTCTTGTCCATGCTCCACGCAAGAAGGGGGAGGAGGCATAGCCAGTGGCATTCTTCTTCTGCCTGTGACCTTTATAAACAGTCAAACATTTTTGCCATAATGTACCCTCACCCCCTGTACCCTCTTATGCCTGACTGGTCACTGGGTTCCATGGCCACACCTACCTGCAAGGGAGGCCAGGAAAGCAAATGTCTGGTGCTCTAGACTTTGTGATGGGAGGTGGTGAAGAAGGGAGTGGGAATGGGTGGGTAACAGTCTGTCATGGTTCACCCTTGGAACCCACAGCAGCCAGGTTTTGGCCAATAGCTGACTTTGAAAGATCTAGGTTTCAGCACATATTGAAATACAGGCTAGATGCCTGCATGGCAAGGGGCACTGCCAAATGGATTTTGGCGGGCAACAGAACTGAAGTGGCCTGATAATCCATTTGGGGTGATCTGGGAATCATGAGTCTACCAGAAAGATATGCCTCCTTTTGATTTGATGGCCTCTAGATTTGGTTTAAGCAGTCATTTACTATAGTATGTAAGTACATGAGCTTAAGTTCATTTCTGGTCAGGTGCACATTAAGAAGGTAACAATAAAACCAACCTCAGCAAAGCTGAGTTGTCTAATAAACATTCAGTACTTGGTTTTATGTGGAGCAATTTATGTCTCTACTTTGATTCACGATGTAAAAGGTGGTAGGGCCACCTTTTCCTTTTTTATCTTCCTTGTGCATCATCTTTATCTGCCTTTTATGGCCTTGGGATCATGGTCATGCCATTATGGTTCATACAGCTCCATGTACTTGAACCTGGGATTGCACTGTTTAGGGCCATTTCTTTTAGTGACAAGGAGGGACTCTAAGGGCAAATACGAGGGCCATTTGTGAAGTTTTTTTTACATTGGTGGTTTCCTTTGAGGTTCATTTTCTGTAAATGTTTTCTCGTTGTAGCAATTTGGAGGAGAACTGCTGCGTGCGCCCTCTCTACATTGACTTCCGGCAGGACCTGGGCTGGAAATGGGTCCATGAACCTAAGGGCTACTATGCCAACTTCTGCTCAGGCCCTTGTCCATACCTCCGCAGTGCAGACACAACCCACAGCACGGTATGGAGCAAGACTCATGCCCTGTGGGGCACTGGGGCTGAGCCAGCCAGGCCACTGGTTAGAAAGAATGAACAGAGGAGTGAATGGTAAATGAGTGAAAGACGATCCAGAGTGAGTGAAACCCTGGCCCAGCTCTCTTGGCCACATTATGCCCTTTCAACTATCTTCCATAGTTTCAACCACACCTTTTTCCTCTAAAGCTGGAGTGCCATACTGGAAATTAATTAGCTGTCATATACCACTCTGTATGTTAGAGATGTGTGCATGTGGCTGGCAGGGCAGAAAGGCTTCTACCAAAGAAGTCTGAAAATTCCAGCCTCTTGAATGTCGAAGCGTTTGAAAGACCATGTAAAGCACACAGAAGAAGCTCATATGAAGCAATGGGAAGAGAAAGGGAGTGGGAAGTCCACATCTCTTAAACTAGATTGTCTTTCCCTCAAGGGGAATAAAAAAATAGGGCAGTAATTTGTGAGGCATGTTTGTAGTAGCTCATTCTTGTTACATCCTGTCTGGGGCCATACACTCTGGCACTTACTAATGGCCCCAGGCAGCATTCAGTGAGAACATTGCTCAACGAAGTGACCATTTATAGCTAGGAAGACCAGTACTGGAGAGTTTTCTTAACAGTGAAGGGAATTTCATCATCTATTTAAAGTCACCCAGTAGCCGTTCTTGTGTGTGACAGCTGTCCTCCGACCAGAGCACGTGCCCGCCACTCCTTCCTGGGGGGTGGACAGGGACTAGTCGCTTACCCCATGGAGCAGCATCAGCGGCCATTCTACCTGTGGCTCCGTCTCCGGAGCAGTCCCTAGAACCTGCGGGGGTCTCCAGGCCCGAGGCGTGGCTTTCTAACCCCTAAATGTTGTGTCCTCCCCCAGGTGCTTGGCCTGTACAACACCCTGAATCCTGAAGCGTCTGCCTCACCGTGCTGTGTGCCCCAGGACCTGGAGCCCCTGACCATCCTGTACTATGTCGGGAGGACCCCCAAGGTGGAGCAGCTCTCTAACATGGTGGTGAAGTCCTGTAAGTGCAGCTGAGACCCGGCCTGCAGCAGACACAGGAGGGGAGGAGCGCCATTGCCTGACTGCCTGCTCCTCAGGAAACAAAAGCAACAGCTCTCACCTAGGGGCCTGGGGCCCATAACCTTCAGCTCCAGGCAGATGGCTGAGACGGAGGTCCCCTTCTGGGACATTTCTCTTTCTTGCTGGCTCTGAGAATCACTGTGGTCAGGAAAGTGTGGCTTTGGTTAGGGGAAGGCCGAACTCTTCAGAACACAGAGTTTCTGTGTAGACAGGTGGGGACAGAGGAAGAGGGATGGCAGGTTGACACGTGTGGCAGTGGGAACTGGGGTACCCTAGGGAGGAGGAAGGGCAGAGAACGGCTGGGACAGGGCCAGACCGGAAGACACTTCTGACCTGAGGTCAGATTTGCTCATCGCTGCCCCACATCTGCTCTAGGGAATCTGGATCACGTTATACAAGGCAAGCATTTTTTTCTTCAGACAGGTTACAAGACAAAGTCCCAGAATTCTATCTCATACTGCCCAGTATTAAGGACAAATCTGTTATTTTTGCAAATTTTCCTCTTGACGTCAATCAGCATTGAGGGTCATTACAGGGAGAAAATCCAGGTAATGTAGTTCCTGGGCCATCAACTCTAGCGGGCCCTATGGATATGCTGAACTCAGAAGCACAAGCGGGTAATTAACCCTCTTCTGTCTGCCCTCTGGGTCCCTCCTCTAACCTCCTTCTTCAATCACATTTCCCCTTGGACATATGGCTAGACATCTTCCAGGCCAGGGTCCACAGATCTGGATTTGGGGTCTCTGCAGCCTTGGGGCATTAAAGGATCTCCCTGTGCCCCCAAGACCCTGTGTCCACCTGATATTCCTGGAAGCAGGTGCTACATGTGAGGCATGAGGGGCAGTGGCACATGTGCCACATAATGACTTGGGCCCAGATACATAGACTGAGGTATAAAGACAAATATTACTCTCAAAATCTTTGTATAAATAAATATTTTTGGGGAATCTTGGATCATTTCATCTTCTGGAAAACTGTTTCTAAAACAGTAAAAGCCTAACTTTAAGGTGGGAGCCTGACTTGATAAATATCCTTTATTACCCTTTCCTTAATTTCATGTCCACATCTATTAAACAGAGGTAACTGGAAACTGGGGCAGATAATCTTGAACACCAAGTATCTTGTTTAGCTTGAAAACCCTGGATGGTGGCACACAGTGCTGCCTTCTGTCAGATGAGAAGACTGAGCTATTGTTTGAGTTCCTTTCCTTCTTGCAGAGCATTTTTTTCTCAGACACACGGAGGCATTGGCTCAGATTTGCAGACAGTGTATGAATGGCTCTTCATTTAACTGGGCAAAATCACTTGGTGTGGGCCCTTGTGGAAATGCGTTGGGTTGTACATTCATTATAAATTACCAACATCACCGTTTTTGAAAGTCTCATCTCACCCCCCCATAACAAATGAAAATTAGAGAAACAATCTGTGGCAAATGGCCTAAGAAAATGAGGCTCATCCTGTTTCAGGGTAAGCCTAAGGAGCTCACCAGGAGCCCCTTTCAGACAACAGGCCTCTTGTCAGGGATCTGGAACTGGGAGAGGCCAGGTGAGGCACAACCCACTGCTCTCTCGTGAGGTCACAGATCCCAGAGTGATGCAGAATTCTACTGTGGTGTTACTGTCCACCTGAAAAAACCATCTGCAATGAGTGAGGAATCATCTAGCAGTTCCTGAAAAACATGTTCCTCTACTGAGATCTCTACCACTGATTAAAAAAAAAGTCTGTCTGAACTAAAATTTGTAGGTTGAAGGAAGTGTCTATGTCTGTGTGTCTGCATGTGTCTGCGTGTGTGTGTGTGTGTGTGTGTGTGTGTGTGTGTGTGTGTGTAGGTATGTGTTCTTGCTCCTTTCAGACTTCTTCCAAACTGAACTCCTGAATTTGGTCACCAAGATTCTTTCCTGCTTTATCCATGCTTAGCCAATTCTAAGGGCGTCTCTCTCAGCCTCCATCCCATGTGGCACCCATTTATTCCACTGTACTTCAGGGTATGTTCCTGCCCTGACCGTGGCTGGTGGGACTGTGTTCTGCATTACCCAAGGGAGCCAGTGGGTCCAGAGTGTAAAGTAGCCTACCCGGCGTGGCGGCCACGGGCTCCTGCAATCCCAGGTTTCAGAACCTAGTCACTTGTGGCAGCCATTCTCAAATTTCAGTGGGTATGAAGACTCACCCAAGTGGTTACTAAAAATGTACAACTTCAGGCTGCAGCTCTAGAGATACCTTTCAGCCTGGGGTAGGGTCCAGGCTGTTGAAAACTCCATTTTGAGAAGCACTGCATATACTTGACACTGTTGGTGCTAACTTGAGGCTTAAGTCAGGAAGAGAGACATGATCTGGCCATAGGCTCCTTTTCATTCAGCTTCACAGGATGTCACTAAAACACTGGCCTGTGCTTCATCCTAATGGACCAAGGCACTGAGAAGTACCCCAAAGGAAGCAGAACACTCCAGGATCCCAAATGTGCTTTGAATCTTAGAGCTCTATTAATTGGCAGATACAAATATCGGCAGGTTTGCAGCCCAGCCTCCCCATTCCACGTCATGTTTTACAGATACTACAGAAAGTTGAACCACTGTCTGTCATCTGCAAAAATACATGCTTGTTTTCAGGGAGGGTCAGGAGGGACACCAGAAATGGCACTGTTGCTAGAGGGAGGATGGTATGATCTACTGGGTTTATTACCAATAGAAGTCCGTACCAGTAAAAGTGACTTGGAAGTATTTGGGTGAACGAAGGGAGAGGTCTGGAGTCTGGTCCTACACCTGATGGGCATGTGCTGAACGCAGTGAGAGATTGGCTTGAGGCTTCAATCCCGATGGTTGCTGAGGGCAATTCCAAGCACTCCAGTTGGTCCAAAAGTTCTTTTGCTGGGATTCTCCCCTTATCCTTTTTCTCAAGATCCATTTGGTGAGTCTCCCCAAATACCTTATTTCACAATTCTACACACTAGCAGCGGATTCTGAAGGAATTCCAATTTGTCTCCTAACCAATACATAACCAAGTTAGCAAATGGTTAAGATGGTCTTTTAACTACTAACCAGAAGTCCCAGGAATATCTGGAATACATTCTCTCTTCTCTCTTGCAACTGATAGACTTCATTCCTCACAAAACCAAAATGTTTCAGTGTGCTCAAATCTGTTTTCGTTCACTGAGAAGGCAATAAAGTCTCTTTTTTCTCTGCCTTTTTGGGTGTCATTTTTCCTCCAGGAAAAGGACAATGCTGAGTCTATAGCACCTTGTTGTAGAAACCCCAGACACTGGGTTCACACCCAATAACACCCTAGGCAGCTAAATCAATCCTTTGGTGGGCTCTGCAGCCCACCTTTAAACCTTTTCTCCACTAGAAGCCAGAGAAAGGACCTAGGAATGCTAAGGAAGCGAGAGAGCAGAGGTCAAGCAGAAAGCAAACAGAGGCTATGCGGCATCAGTCCGATGCACTGTTTCAGTGAAGAGTGCGCAGTTGGATGGACGCACAGGCCGCCAGCGGGCCTGCCTGCTGTGGCCTGATCATGGGGACGTTTGCACACACCAGCTTCCCAGGTGCAGGCGCTGCCCTTAGGGGACAGCCTGCACCCACCATCTGTTGAAACCAAATGTAAGAATAAAGCATGTCTTTAGAGTTCACATTTCTAAAATGAAGCTTAAAAAATTGCCCAGCCATGAAATAAAATGAGAATTTGATCCCATTTCAGTTTTTGTGAATACTGATTGTTGGGAAATTAGTAAATGGAAAAAAAGAAAATAAAAATAGAATTACTTTATTATTAGAAATCAGTAATTGCAAAGGGGGCCTTTGCTGTGGCTTCTGTGGTCAGCAGCATACTAACTTCTCTCCTCTCTGGGCAACTTACCCTGTAAGCATCCCCCTTCCCGTCAGACCCTCTGAAAAGGCAAGAACAGCTTTGGTAGATAATGTTGTGGGGATTTTAGTCATGTAGGCAGTAAAGCTTAATACTGCAATCTGGAAAAGAAGAGGAAGCAAAATGCAAATAGCCAAAGAGCCTGTTTTATATCATCTCTGTGTGGTAGCAGGAGAGGGACAGAGAAGACCTACTACGCAGGCGGGGAAGGGGGGAAAGGGGTAAAAGATACACATGTGCTCTGATGGGGTATATAATTCATCAGTTCAATGTCCCCATTGCTAAGTTCCATCAACACCCAGCTGATGTGATTTTCTGTCGTCTCAGTAAAAATCTGGATTGGCTGACAGGTAACAATCTGCTGCCACATCAGCTCAAAGGCTCTGGGGACCGAGGCAGCAAAAATATACTCTGGCCGCCCTGCTGCACTGCTGGGTGCCTCCCCCACTGCTGGGTGCCTCCCCCTCCGTCACGCACCCAGGAGCAATGGGACTAGTGAACAGGTTCTTCCTCCACGGGTTTGCAGTTCATCTTTCTGTGTGCGTAGGAGCTGAAAAAAGAGAAAATCAAGCACTAAGTGTCTGAAATAAGAGTGTGGGCTTTTATTTTATTATATTTTATTTATTTTTTGCAATTTTCCCCAAACTTTTTATTTTGAAAACTTTCAAGCCTACAGAAAAGTTAGACGACTAGCACAAAGAACTCCCATGTACCCCTTCCCTTGATGCATAAACACCTAACATTTGGCCACTTTTGCTTCCTTTCTCTTTTCCTCTCTCTGATCATTTCAAAGTAACTTGCAGACATCACTACACCATATTCCTAACTACTTAATCCCTAACTCCTAAGAAAAAGAAACTTTCCCTGCAAAACCCAACTCCACGATCATAGTCAAGAAATTTAACATTGATATAATACTATTTAATACTCACTTTCTATAAAAATATTCAAAGAACAATTCTAGGGAAGAAAAAGTGTCTTTTCCTCTACCCATCTTAGGCTCTCCAGCTGGAGCCCTGTAGATTAGACTGGCCACAGACGGACCAAGAAGAGAAAAGCAAACAGAAGTGTATTAACACGTCTGTCGTGTATGTAACACCTGGGAGTGCCCAACAGTGAGTAATCTAAAGGGGTGGTTAGAACTCGGGCTTGAATCTCAGGCCAAACAGAGGGAAAGGGGCTTTGGGCTTTTAGGCAGGGGAGGCAAATTATGAGAACCTGACCAAGACAAGTATGGAAAACGAGGGTTGCTTAGTAGGATTTTTTTTACAAATTTAAGTCAGTGCCTTCTCCTTGGCTAAGAATACAAAGAGAGACTTCCTCTTTCTGGTACTGGAAGTAGGAGACATCTTTACAAATGGAAATTTCCTTTTTTTTTCACAAAAGGAAAACAAGTGCCCTGTTTTTAGAGCTTTTCCTGAATCTGCCATTAGTTCAAAATAATCCATATGCCAAAAAGGCATATTTTGGGGTGGCATATTCTGGTACCTTTCACAGCCAGCAATCAAACTTTACCAGGTGTCCCAAAAATGAGGTTTAGAGATTTTTTTACATCTCCTCTTAATTTAGGATCCAGTGTGGGAACATGTACTGCATTTAACTGTCAGTAGCTATAGTTTCATTTAATCTTCAGTTTGTTGCCTGCACCTGCTGCCCTGCCTTATTTCCTTTTAACACAGAGTTCAGTTCTGTTGTTTTGTAGACTGTATCAGAATTAAATTCAGTTTAACTACTCCAGCCGGAGAGCTGTTGTGTCCTTCAGTGCATTATATCAGCAGGTATATATAATAAACAGAGTTTGTTGAACATCAAGAATGTCATGTTTGATTACTTGGCTAAGGTGCTGTGTGCCAGATATCTCCATTTCCTCTTTGCAATTAATAAGCAATCTGTGGGGTAGTGATACTTAGATATTGTGCAAATCTTGTTTCCTAGCAGTTTTTGCCTATGGTTTCAGTATACATTGTTCGTACTTCTCTGAATCAGTCATTGAATTGTTGAAGTAACAATGGTTCTCTAGATCAGCCATTCCTTTTATATATATTAGCTGGGATTCTTCTGTAAATAAGAGCCTCTCCCAATATTACATGTTGTTGGAAGACCCTGGACTGCTGGATTCTATCTTAACTCAATTTGCTTTAATCCACTGTCATCGTTATTTTTTGGATGCTCAAATTATTCCAGACTTGGCCTGTACAAGTCTGTTTTGTAGGTTCCTAAGTGGTTTTGACTTGTCCCCATGCAGTTTTAAACACTTTCTTACTTTCTGGAACAATAAGCTGATGGTGCAAGCCCACCTTGTGTTTTTTCTGTCCCAAACCTGAAGTTAGCCAGGGAGCCCTGATTCCTCTTAATGGGACTAGTTTTTAGATTACTCTGATTTAATATACAGCATTTTTGCATTTTTTAAATTAAGATTTCATTGATATACACTCTTATGAAGGTTTCACATGAAAAACATTGTGGTTACTACATTCACGCATATTATCAAGTACCCCCCAAACCCCATTGAAGTCATTGCCCATCAGTGTAGTGAGATGCCACAGAGTCACTACTTGTCTTCTCCATGCTACATTGTCTTCCCTATGACCCCCCACACACCATGTGTACCAATCGTAATGCCCCTCAATCCCTCCCTCCCCACTCACCTTCCCTCACCCCTCCCTTTTGGTAACCACTAGTCCCTTCTTGGAGTCTGCGAGTCTGCTGCTGTTTTTGTTCCTTCAGTTTTGCTTCATTGTTATACTCCACAAATGAGGGAAATCATTTGGTAATTGTCTTTCTCTGCCTGGCTTATTTCACTGAACATAATACCCTCTAGCTCCATCCATGTTGTTGCAAATGGTAGGACCTATTTTCTTCTTATGGCTGAATAATATTCCATTGTGCATATGTACCACATCTTCTTTATCTATTCATCTACTGATGGACACTTAGGTTGCTTCACTTATCTTGGCTATTGTAAATAGTGCTGCAATAAACAGGGGTGCATATGTCTTTTTGAATATGAGATCTTGTTTCCTTTGGGTAAATTCTTAGGAGTGAAATTCCTAGGTCAAATGGTATTTCTATTTTTAGGTTTTTGAGGAACCTCCATATTGCTTTCCACATGGTTGAACTAATTTACATTCCCACCAGCATTTTTAAATTGTACATTGTAAATTGTACATTCCTTTCTCTGCTTCCTCGCCAGCATTTGTTGTTCCTTGTCTTTTCGATGTTGGCCATCCTAACTGGTGTGAAGTGATATCTCATTGTGGTTTTATATGGCATTTCCCTGATAATTAGCGATGTGGAGAATCATTTTATGTGCCTGTTGGCCATCTAAATTTTTTCTTTGGAGAAGTGTCCGTTCATATCCTCCACCCATTTTTTAACTGGGTTATTTCTTTTTTGGGTGTTGAGGTGTATGAGTTCTTTATATATTTTAGATGTTAACCCCTGTCGGATATGTCATTTACAAATATATTCTCCCATACTGTAGGATGCCTTTCTGTTCTACTGATGGTGTCCTTTGCTGTACAGAAGCTTTTTAGCTTGATGTAGTCCCATTTGTTCATTTTTGCTTTTGTTTCCCTTACCTGAGGAGATGCATTCAGGAAAAAGTTGCTCATGTTTATATTCAAGAGATTTTTGCCTATGTTTTCTTCTAAGAGTTTTATGGTTTCATGACTTACATTCAGGTCTTTGATCCATTTTTGAGTTTACTTTTGTGTATGGAGTTAGACGATAATCCAGTTTCATTCTCTTACATGTAGCTGTCCAGTTTTGTCAACACCAGTTGTTGAAGAGGCAGTCACTTCCCCTCCTTTATTATATATGAATTGACCATATATGCTTGGGTGTATATCTGGGCTCTCTATTCTGTTCCATTGATCTATGGGTCTGTTCTTGTGCCAGTACCAAATTGTCTTGATTACTGCGGCTTTGTAGTAGAGCTTGAAGTTGGGGAGCATAATCCCCCTAGCTTTATTCTTCCTTCTCAGGATTGCTTTGGATATTCAGGGTCTTTTGTGGTTCCATATGAATTTTAGACTATTTGCTCTAGTTTGTTGAAGAATGACATTGGTATTTTGATAGGGATTGCATTGACTCTGTAGATTGCTTTAGGAAGGATGGCCATTTTGACATTATTTATTCTTCCTATCCATGAGCACAGGATAAATTTCCATTTATTTGGTGTCTTGTTTAATTTCCCTCATGAGTGTCTTGTAGTTTTCTGGGTATAGGTCTTTCATCTCCTTGGTTAGGTTTATTCCTAGGTATTTTATTATTTTTGATGCAATTGTGAATGGAATTGTTTTCCTGATTTCTCTTTCTGCTAGTTCATCATTAGTATATAGGAATGCAACAGATTTCTGTGTATTAATTTTGTATCCTGCTACTTTGCTGAATTCAGCTATTAGTTCAGTAGTTTTGGGGTGGATTCTTTAGGGTTTTGTATGTACAATATCATGTCATCTGCAAACAATGACAGTTTAACTTCTTCCTTAGCAGTCTGGATGCGAGTGTGGGCTTTTATTTACTGATAACAGTGTCTGGTTTAGTTAGTATGACTGATGAATAAAGAACTTGTGGCCAATAAAGGAAGTTCACCTTGAAGTAGAAGCTCTTTTATTTTGGCCACTTTTGTTGCAAACCTTTCTGCGGCACCCCCATTCTGCTGCTCCTCTTTTGTGTAGTTCTCTTAGTGTCCTGTTTTTCCTTCTTGCTTAAGAACATTTTATCCCTTTTGCTTCTTAAATAGAAGATGCTGTATTAATCTTTTCTAGAAACTCAGGGTCAGCATTATTAGCATTCAATACTGAACTGCATGGAGAAAGTGCTTTTTGTACACTTCTGAGTTTGTCTAAATCTTCCCTCAATGTCAAGCCATCAGATAACTTGCCTTGTGCCTCCTTTCCACCGTCTCCACAATATACACCTACATCCACCAGCCAGTTTAAGAAATGCAGTATTACCATTACCCAAATTCCCCGTGAGACCCTCCCAATTCCTTCCTATCCCCACTATGCTGAAATCTATGTATATTCTTCCTTTGTTTGCTTTTAAAAAACAGTTTTACTTACTACATATTCTTATATCCCTAAATACTATATTGTTTAGTTTTATTTCAATGGTTTTGAATTTCATAGTATTACTGTGTCTATTCTTATATGTGATCTCAGCACACAACTTGAAGAACTTCTTTAGATAAATACTTAGGAGTGGAATTGCTGGGTCATAAATACTTGCATCTTCAACTCTCTAAAAATAATGCCATGTTCTTTTCCAAAGTGCTCGTACCAATTCATCCCCCACTCTGGAGTGGATGAACGTCCCCTGCTTCTTCTCCTCCTCTGCATGTGGAGAAGTAGTATTGCCTCAGTTTAAAATTTTTGTGAATCAAATGAGTATACCATGGTAGCCTACTGTGGTTTAATTATCATCTCCCTGATTAGGAATGAGATTGAGGATCTTTTCAAATATCTATTGCACATATACATGTTTTTCTTATGTTAAATGACTGGATATGTATTTTGCTTATTTTACTACTGAGTTGTTGTTTAC